TTAACAATGACTTTATTTGAAATAATTAAATAAGACACTCCCTAACTATATTCCCTACTAGAGGCCATGAGTACTGAATGAGGTGCTTTAGTACAAGAGAGCCGTACTTACTCGTATGTTGTTCCACAGTTTTCCTGGAGATGATGTTCCTTCCCCGGGTCCACACACACCGTCCTACTGGGCTGCGCCCACTCTACTCACCCTCTAGCATGATCTCCTGCTCCTCAGCTGAACATGAGGGTTTTGCATTTGATGTTTAGGGGTTAATCCCTGAAGATTATCATGACGGCATCAACTCTGACCTCTTTGTGATTCGATGACCGTTGACCTGACTCTATGGCTAACTTGTACAGAGGTGTAACTTTTACTTTGTCTGCTGCCGCCTGTGGTTTGTTCATCCTCCACGTGGCTTGTTCATGCTGTTATGATGTTCATGTTGTACTATGTACTGCTCTCTTGTTACACCGAGACTAGTCTGGTGGCATACCTCTGAATCTTCTTTAACTTTGTCTTGTGTTTAACTAGGTATGGGCTCCAGGCTGGAACTGCATACTCCAGGATTGGTCTGAGATAAGTGGTACACAAGGCCCTGAACGATTCCTTACACAAGTTTCTAAAGGCAGTTCTAATGTTGTCCAATCTAGCATATGTCGTTGTTGATATGTTTTTGATGTGAGCCTCTGGGGACAGGTTCTGTGTGATATCAACTCTCAGATCTTTCTCTCCATTTGACTCTTGCAGGATTTCACCTCCCAGATGGTATCTTGTGTTCAGCCTCCTGCTCCCCTCGCCTAATTTCATTACCATACACTTTCCTGAGTTGAACTTTAATAGCCATTTTTAGACCATTCCTCCAGTTTGTCCAGGTCATCCTGTAGTCTCTGTCTATCTTCACCCGTCTTGATTCTTCTCATAATTTTTACATCATCAGCAAACATTGAGAGGAACGCGTCTATACCCTCTGGAAGGTCGTTTACATATATATTAGAAACAGGATGGGTCCAAGTACAGAGCCCTGTGGGACTTCGCTGGTGACATCTCGCCACTCTGATGTCTCCCCCCTCACAGTTACTCGCTGTTTCCTGTTGCTTAAATACTCCCTTATCCACAGGAGCACCTTACCTTTTACTCCTGCCTGTTGCTCCAACTTTTGTAACAGCCTTTTGTGAGGTACTGTGTCAAAGGCTTTCTGGTGAAAATGCTCGTGATGTCAGAGAAATCAGACACTTGCTTAACAATAATTTTTTTTCTTAATCCGTGGGCGAGGAAGTAGGTGGCTTACCCTTTCTTAAAGAGTACACAGATTACAAATTACATAAGGTAGCTGTGACCCCCCATGCCCACTTAGGTGACCCCAAGCCCACTTAGATGTGACCCCATGCCCACTTCGGTGTGACCCCATACCCACTTAGATGTGACCCCATGCCCACTTAGGTGTGACCCCATGCCCACTTAGGTGTGACCTCATGCCCACTTAAGTGTGGCCCCCCCCCCTCACACCACCTCTTTCCCGTGTGACAGGACCATGAAGGTCATCGCCTCACACCTTTTAACAACCATTCAACTTTTTAAAGGTCACGTGTAACACCAAATTAGAAATTTCATGTAATATGGGATATTTTATGGAGAAACAAATTTCTAGGTTGTAATTTTGGTGTTGTGAAAACTTAGAAAACAGTTCTTGAGTTACGATACGTTTATTAACAATACTCTATAGTACCGGTCTGATGTATACATATATGTTGGCTTTTGCGATAAATGTGTATATAACTGAGAGAATGGTAATGGCTTGTGGAGGCACGGTAATGGCTTATTGTTATACAATGAAGGTCAACCTGACCTTATTCGTGTTATTTGCACTGAGGCGGTTTTGTGTAAAATGCTGGCCATTGAAACTTCGCTATACCCAGCAAACTCCACATCTGTTCCACTGGTGTGTGTGTGTGTGTGTGTGTGGGCTTGCACACATCTGTGAAGCCCCCACACCTGTGTAACCCACACCTGAGGCCATATTGTGCAGAGTGGACATCTGCAGAGCTTAATTATAACATTTTAAATTCTGAGAGAGGGAGGGGTTGAGGTGGGGGGGGGGGGGTATGAAGTCAGTTCTCGCTGGATTAGGTTCAATTAGGTCAGGATTCGCAACAAATTAGCACCCTGGGCAATTATGCCAAGACTCAGCCAAGACACGTACGTGGATAGACTTCTCACAGAAGTCCGATGAAGTCGCCCGAAAAAATAATAAGAGAATGTAAAATTGCTTACAAAGTGCTAATTGAAGCACGTAAGAATTGAGACCAAGCTCCTCCGGGACATTAGATTTTTAGATTTAGAATCTTTATTCGAATGTGATTTACACGAATCATTATGGCAGAGGTGAACAGGTGTAAAGCTGAACAAAAGTTAAATCTTACTTATATTAGCAGAACACAGAACATAAAATTAGAACAGTATAATTAGACAGATAAATAATTAATATACGAACTCTTTAAATCTTTTTTTTTGAGCAGGGACTTAAGAAAAAGGTCAAATTGAGGTCTAATCCAAAAAGACGGATTTGTTAATTTAAACGTAAATGTGCCTTCAAAAACGTCTTTTTCACGAATATAAATTGAAATTATATATATATATATATATATATATATATATATATATATATATATATATATATATATATATATATATATATATAATATAATATATATATGCAATTGACGATCACAAACACTGATCATTTTATGCGGAAAATCCACAGAGAAATATGAAATGAGGTGAACGTTTCGGCTTGTTAAAGCCTTTGTCAACACCAGACTCAAATATATATTTGAAGACACCCAGATCCTGGCAACAATCAGACGACAGCTGTACAATAGACTACTAACTACAATCTTATACAATAGCATCACCATATACGGCAGGAATGAAGCAAGAGCCCCAGCCACACAACAATCACTAATACAATTATCGCTACTAGTGTCTAATTGGGTAAGCAGGGTTGAGGGGGGGGAGGGGGGGGGGGGGGGGGGAAAGGGGGGTGGGAGGGGGGGGGAAGGGGGGGTGGAAGGGGGGAAGGGGGGGGGGGGTGGAGGGGGGAAGGGGGGGTGGCCTAATTACCACCACCCCCACTTTAAACTTACAAGCAGTGGGTGTTGAGGGGAATATCTGTACTACACTCTGAGTGCTTGTGGCTTTATGGCTTGTTAATAGTGTCCCATTTTGGAGTCATTTTTTTGGGGGAGGGGGAGGGGGGGAAATGTCTAAATGTTGGTTCAAAGTTGATCATTGATCATGTTGCAGATTTGAAATTCCATAATATATGAACTATTACTTGGGGTTCAAGGTGCTTGCAGGCGATGAGTCACAATAACGTGGCTAAAGTATGTTGACCAGACCACACACTAGAAGGTGAAGGGACGACGACGTTTCGGTCCGTCCTGGACCATTCTCAAGTCGAAACGTCATCGTTCCTTCACCTTTTAGTGTGTGCTCTGGTCTTCAAGGTGCTTATTTAAGACCGGTAAGTTTTATCTTCAGCTTAAAAGATAGCAACTTAGAGGATAGCAAGTCAAGTATTCAAGGGGGACACGAACGAGAACCTCAGGGAAGGGGAGACGACTGCTTTCACCGTCGTTAATTCCTAATGTGACGCTGTAATTCCCCAACGGACAAAATACGACGTACTAGGAACCAAAGCGGTTCACAAACGACCCCATTTCCTATGCGTAAGTTTGGTTAAGTTAGGGTTCGCTCGTCCCAGTACCCCGTTTTCTATCCGATATTGCACGAAACGCGCAATGTTGCCTGCTTACTTCATAGGTCACTTTTTGTTCGTTAACGTAACAAATGTAACCTACTATTGTTAAAGTACAGCTTCACAAATATCGACGCTTTCTATGCATAGGTTAGGTGGACTGCTTGGGTTTGTACGCTTCTGGTTCTGGTTAACAGGTTGGATTTCTTACGTAGTCGCAAGAAAACGGGCTGGGTCCAACCGTTCTCGACTCAAGTCCATTCCATCCAGTGGTCGACCTCACAGACGCATTCATACATTTTTACATGCTCTTCATTCAAAACGAAAATTTTCTCAAATATAAATTAATATTATAATATATTAGCATATTGTGAACAGATAGACATAAGTTAGGTTAGGTGTTTAGGTTCTGTTGGCGATTATTTCTATTTATAGTACGTGGGTGAAGCATTTATAACGTTGTGGATCGAACAAAATTCGTCAGTGAAGCACTTGTTCCGGAAGTGTTCGAACGTCATCAGTTGTGAGTCGTGTGTAAACCGTTTTTTCATCCATAAACAGCTGGGGGGGTTGGCGGGTGGATGGAATCACTTTTGGGTCTTTGTTTGGAGGACTGGCTGCTGGGCCACGGTCTCTGGAGGCTATACTTCAAAGCTTTGAAGATAAATTGGTAACCGGATACCCCAGGAGGTATACCCCCTATCGGTGTATACACGCTGAGAGGTATACCCAGCTCCTCGGTGTATACACACTGAGAGGTATACCCAGCTCCTCGGTGTATACACGCTGAGAGGTATACCCAGCTCCTCGGTGTATACACGCTGAGAGGTATACCCAGCTCCTCGGTGTATACACGCTGAGAAGTATACCCAGCTCCTCGGTGTATACACACTGAGAGGTATACCCAGCTCCTCGGTATATACACGCTGAGAGGTATACCCAGCTCCTCGGTGTACACACGCTGAGGGGTATACCCAGCTCCTTGGTGTATACACACACAGAGGTATACCCAGCTCCTCGGTGTATACACGCTGAGAGGTATACCCAGCTCCTCGGTATATACAGTTTACTTTAGTCCTGGACAATGTTCGCGGCTAAAGTGTACTTGTTGGTTGGTCAGTAAGTTGTGGTGGCGGCCTTAACGACCCTCCAGAGGTCGTGTGTACGTGGACCATCCACACCTGTGTGTGTGAGAGAGTGGGAGTGCCAACGTGGGAGTGCCAATGTGGGAGTATACCAACGTGGGAGTATGCCAACGTGGGAGTATGCCAACGTGAGAGTGCCAACGTGGGAGTGCCAACGTGGGAGTGCCAACGTGGGAGAGTGCCAACGTGGGAGAGTGCCAACGTGGGTGACTGAGTGCCCACTATGAGTCTTCCCGCTCTCATTCCCGCTCAGATATTCAGGTCAAACTCCCCGTGTGTCATCTCTTGTGTTTGTTAAGTTTTGAGGGAGATGGAAAGGTTTCGCCACTCCCGGAGTTGACGTGGAGGATGGCAGGGGTCAGCGCCCCCATATACACGAACCTTGTATAGAACTGTTTAGTTTAAGAGGGGGACGACAAGCAGGTGCCCCAGCAGGGAGTGGCCCGACAAGCAGGTGCCCCAGCAGGGAGTGGCCCTGACAAGCAGGTGCCCCCAGCAGGGAGTGGCCCTGACAAGCAGGTGCCCCAGCAGGGGGTGGACCGACAAGCAGGTGGCCCCAGCAGGGGGTGGACCGACAAGCAGGTGGCCCCAGCAGGGGGTGGACCGACAAGCAGGTGGCCCCAGCAGGGGGTGGACCGACAAGCAGGTGCCCCCAGCAGGGAGTGGCCCGACAAGCAGGTGGCCCCAGCAGGGAGTGGCCCGACAAGCAGGTGCCCCCAGCAGGGAGTGCCCCGACAAGCAGGTGCCCCCAGCAGGGAGTGGCCCCGACAAACAGGTGCCCCAGCAGGGAGTGGCCCCGACAAGCAGGTGCCCCAGCAGGGAGTGGCCCCGACAAGCAGGTGCCCCCAGCAGGGAGTGGCCCCGACAAGCAGGTGCCCCAGCAGGGAGTGGCCCGACAAGCAGGTGCCCCAGCAGGGGGTGGACCGACAAGCAGGTGCCCCAGCAGGGAGTGTACCCGCACAGAACTGCACTAGTACTGCGGATGGGTCTGGATCAGAGTACTCTCGCCCGGTTCAATATTAAGGCCACTGCAGAGGTTCAAGCTTGCGACATCCGCCTTACGTGTTCCCGATAGTCAAGATCCTCCTGGAGTGCGCCCCTTTATAGTCCTGCGAAACCCTTAGGTCCTCCATACAGCCGCCCCTTATCAACCGGTACCAACGCGCATCCAGGGGTAACCCATGCGTTTAACGACCGTGGGAACAGCCTTCACTAATGGACACCTTACTGTAACGGGATGCGACAGGGTGACGAGGGATAGGGTGACGCGTTCGTAATGTTTAATGGGGGGGGGGGGGGTAAGGCGGGACGGTTAGCGGTTACGTAATGGTTGGTTAGGGAAACATGATAGTCAGGTAAGCCTATTATTCATCCGAGATTTGACGCAGTTAGCGTCAGATCACGTTACAGGTTTCAAGTCGAACACTCGATCCGAAACACTTAATGAACGGTTCTCTGCGCCTGAATGTAGTTGTCACACCGTCGTATTTCGAACGTAGGGTCATGACAGAGGAGCTGTAGGCAACCCACTCTCTTGAAGTGATAGTACTAGTAGCAACCATCCCTTCACCTCTACTTCACCTCTGAAGTGATCCTCCTTCAGAGGTGAAGTAGTCGAACGGAATCTCACACTTTCCTAAGATGCGAAGCCTTTCCTCTCTTGAGAAACAAGAACACGGGGCGCCAGTAGTGGATCGGACAAATAGATCTTCTGGGTTAAGCTTTCCACTTTCTTGCTCGTCTGGCAATTACCATAAATACCGCGTGTGTAAGGGGCCATGATTCCTCGCCCCAGAGAGAGAGAGAGAGAGAGAGAGAGAGAGAGAGAGAGAGAGAGAGAGAGAGAGAGAGAGAGAGAGAGAGAGAGAGAGAGAGAGAGAGAGAGAGAATATAATAACAACAATGAAAGGGTCAACACATCTCTGCTCACGGGAGCTCCATAAGAGGCCACTCATTCCGGAATACATAATTAGGTCACCCAACTCATCCCCACCATTACAACAACACTCATACCCTGCCGATGAGTTCTCGCGGCTCCCTCAACACAATACGATGAATTTCAAATCGCTGTTTAGTGTATAAACAACCACAGGATTGGTATTTGAACCCAAACAAATGTTTCGACTCGTCCGTTTCGCATTAATCTGGCTTCAATCACAACTAACTAATAGCCCAAGAAACTCATCCAACTCGTCCTAAAGGTAACCTCATCGAAGCTGCGGTAGACCCCATTCTAAAGACAAGATTATTATTATATATTTGAATTTTGTGCGTAGTTTGACCTTGGTTAGGTTAGGTGTTTAGATTCTATTCGATTATTAGAATTAGATTCTATTGGCAACTATCTGACTTTTGTTGTATGTGGGGAAAGTATTTGCAGAGGTGCAGTTTGGAGAGAGTGAACGACGCACCGTTCGATAAAAAGTTCGAAAACTATCAGTTGTGAGTTGTGATGACGATGTGATGTTCGAAAAGTTCATCTGGAGTTCCTCTCACCCAGCAAGAGGCAGACAGGCAGTTCAATTGGTACGGATGCTTAGTGAGGAGAAATACTACAATATAATCCATCTTTTCAACTGAATTTCTTACCTAAGCAAAGACAGTGCCACCACGAGTGTCAAGTCCCCAGACAGTGCCACCACGAGTGTCACGTCCATCATACACCCGGAAGGAGAGAATACCCATTAATACCACTTGTATATGAACAAATCCACAAGGGCCGTGACGAGGGTTCGAACCTACGTCCGAGAGCATCCCAGACGCTGCCTTAATCGACTGAGCTACGATATGGTAAAAGAATTGCAACCAGAAGTTCTACTGACCTTACTTGGACCCTGCCGCCTCTCCGAGACACAAACCAGGATATTACGCAATTAATTTGTTCATTTGATGCATCACGCTATTGTGATTTCTGAGTGTAACCACTTGTATATCCTTACTGTGTACCCAGAGCCACCAGCACGATAAAGGAATATCAGGATTTTGCTTTGTTTCATTAAACAGAACAACTTGTACTGTTCTTTGAAGATAATTAGGTTTCCCAGACCTTAAGATTGTATATATATCAAAATAATCTAGAAAACTAATTGATATCGCAGACTACTCGCTCAGAAGCGTTTCACGACTTAAATTGCCTCATCATGTGGCCAATACAATTTAAACTAAATCCTGACTCGACAATTTTTTAGTTAATACAATTTTCCCTCGGTGTTAAAATACGAAATTACTTACGACGATTCTCAGCAAGATATTTCACAAAGAGTTCCGGATCTGCACACTGCTCGTCCAAGCTCGGGTCCTCTGGAAGACCGCTTGGAGAAGCGCTCTGGATCTAAACACTGCTCGTCCAAGCTCGGGTCCTCTGGAAGACCGCTTGGAGAAGCGCTCTGGATCTAAACACTGCTCGTCCAAGCTCGGGTCCTCTGGAAGACCGCTTGGAGAAGCGCTCTGGATCTAAACACTGCTCGTCCAAGCTCGGGTCCTCTGGAAGACCGCTTGGAGAAGCGTTCTGGATCTAAACACTGCTCGTCCAAGCAGTGGGTCCTCTGGCACACCGCTTGGAGAAGCGCTCTGGATCTAAACACTGCTCGTCCAAGGGTCCGTCCACGGCCTGAACAAGGCACATGGAGAAGAGAAGACGTAGGGGGGTTCCTCAGGGCAGTACGTTGCACCCCCTTCAAGCCAGTAACCCAGGTAGTGTGGAGCCAGGTGACGTGGTCCGCCGCGGCTGCTGGCCCTCATTCTCACGCTCAGAACTGTCAGTCCAACAGTAAGTACACAGTGTTCACCTTTACCAGTGCTCGAAACTGCGTTTTTAACACTGAAATTTAACCTAAATTAACTCATATTTCACTGAAGACAAATAAATATTTAACACACGTTAACTCTGTATACTGAATGTTGTATTTAAGGCTGAAAGTGGACACTCGAAGCTTCACAAAATCTTAAAGTGGACACACTATATCTTACATAACTCCAGTTTTAAAGTGTTTTTTCCGAGATCATATATTATATATATCTATATATATATATATATATATATATATATATATATTATATATATATATATATATTATATATATATATATATATATTTGTTGAATATGACCGAAAGGGTAAGATTAATGATTCTAACACGAATTTTCACAATATTTCTTATGCTTTTCTTCATTGTCGAGGGAAGTTGAAAAATTAATTCTCCAAAGTTCACTCAAGAACATATTTGCTAGCACCACGGGCCAGACACAAAGTCTTTCCTCTTTCACATCAGCAATATTCTTCAAGAAAATATTGTCTTTCAGGAGCACTTGTATCAAGTCCGGCAGGAACACTGCTGGCCAACTGGCTGGCTCCCTATTGGTAGGGAGCCGGTCGGCCGAGCGGACAGCACATTGGACTTGTGATCCTGTGGTCCCGGGTTCGATTCCGGGCGCCGGCGAGAAATAATGGGCAGAGTTTCTTTCACCCTATGCCCCTGTTACCTAGCAGTAAAATAGGTACCTAGGTGTTAGTCAGCTGTCACGGGCTGCTTCCTGGGGGTGGAGGCCTGGTCGAGGACCGGGCCGCGGGGACACTAAAAAGCCCCGAAATCATCTCAAGATAACCTCAAGATAACCTCAACAAGGTTGACTTAACAGGAGTCATACAGGAAATTATCAGACATGCATCCCAAGGTGTCTTATTGGCTGTAGAGAACAGTTAGGTGTCCCAAGGTGTCTAACGCCAAGGTACCTATTTACTGCTAGGTGAACAGGAGCATCAGGGTGACAGAAACTCTGCCCATTTGTTTCCGCCTCCGTCGGGGATCGAACCCGGAACCTTTGAACTACGAATCCCGAACGTTGTCCACTCAGCCGTCAGGGCCCCCTTAATATGTGTGTGCGCGCGCGTGCGTAAGAGAAATATATTGTAGTAGACATAATAGAGAAAATTTTTTATGGTTAGAAAGGCGGGGTCCAAGAGCTAATAGCTCGACTCTGCAGGCCCAAATTGTAAATACACACACACACACAGACACACACACACACACACCAACCTGGTAGCCTGTGGGGGGCCTGGTAACCTGGTGGATAACGCGCAGGACTCGTAATTCTGTGCCGCGGGTTCGATTCCAGCACCAGGCAGAAACAAATGGGCAAAGTTTCTTTCACCCTGAATGCCCTGTTACCTAGCGGTAAATAGGTACCTGGGAGTTAGTCAGCT